ATTGTTACATTGCAATATATAATGAAATAATTATACAGCTCACCGTAATGTAGAGTCAGTGGGAGCCCTGAGCTTGTTTTCCTGCAACTAGACAGTCCTGTCTGGGGTGATAAGAGACAGTGACAGATCATCAGGCATTAGATTCTCATAGGAGAGTGCAACCTAGATCCTTCACATGTGCAGTTCACAATATGGCTTGTGCTCCTATGTGAAGTTAATGCCACTGCTGATCTGACAGGAGACAGAGTTCAGGTGGGAATGCGAGTGATGGGGAGCAGCCATAAGAAACTTTGCAGGCTGGGTGCGGTGGCTTATGCCTGTAATCCCAGCACTTTGGGAGGCTGAGGTGGGCAGATCACGAGGTCACGCATTTAAGACCAGCCTGACCAACATGGTGAAACCCTATCTCTACTAAAAGTACAAAAATAGCTGGGGCGTGGTGGTATGCATCTGTAATCCCAGTTACTCAGGAGGCTGAGGCAGGACAGTTGCTTGAACCCAGGAGGTGGAGGTTGCAGTAAGCAGAGATCACGCCATTGTGCTCCAGCCTAGGCAACAGAGCAAGACTCTGTCTCAGAAAAAAAAAAAAAAAAGAAAAAAGAAAAAGAAACTTTGCTTGCTTACTGGCCCCTTGCTTACCTCCTTCTGTGTGGCCTGGTTCCTAACAGGCCACAGACTGGTACCAGTCTGCCAGTCTGTGCTTCTTAGTAACATCAGAAGTGAAAGAGTTCTGAAAAGATCTGTAAATGCATTAAGAAGTTAAAAAAGAAAACTTCGAACAGCTGTCATATGGAAGCCGTTACTAGCCAAGAAAGAATAAAAGAAGGTAAATTATAATCAGAGTCACTGATGTAGTGTTAACATGCTATGAGAACACAGAGAAACAAAAACCTTCTTCAAGAAAAGTAATCGTGGAGAACTTTAAAGTTCTAATAAATGTAAGAAATACTTTGCTGAATTCAATTGCAGTACTCCCTGAAATGATAAAACAACTTTGTTTTGTTGTTTTTATATCTAAGAGCATTTTGGTTAGATTCCTCACAAATGGCGGCAATGAAGTCAGTAGTTGAAGGGTCTTTCATGGCTGTGTTGAAAAGTAAGATGAATTTGTCAGTTGATTAATCCTGTTGCAAAGACCATCTCAAATGTATAAAGGATGACTTCGACAAAAAGACTGATTTCTCAAGATTATGTGAAAAACCGCAATACAGCTTTGAAGCAATGCTTTATGAGTTATTTAAAAATTACACCTGTACCATGGGTCTTTGGATAATAAAACAAATGTATACTTAAGATTTGATGATCTTGAGGTACTTGATGCTGTAGAATTCAGAATATCTCCAAGTGTATGGTCCAGAAATATAGTCTAGAGTTGGTAAACGGCAAAGTGGTTAACAAATGTGGCCAGTGACCTCTGATTACTTTCCAGAGCCAGTATTTTTTTCTGGTGTGGTGCGTAAGATTTATTTATTTGGGAAATCTTCATGCTAGTTCGGAACCAGTAGAGCCTACGGTTAAGCTGGCTGCACTGGAATTGGCTGTGGATCCAAATCTGAACTCCAGTACTTTCTAGCATTGTGAAATGCTTTCATCTTTCTCAGCCTCAGTTTAATCATTTGTGAAATGGGAATATTGTGTACCTGAATACAAAAGTGTTTATATTTAGTGAATCATGCAGGTAAAACATGTAGTATTGGGTAGCTGAAGAAATAATATTTTTTTCCTTCAATTTTGCGTGACTTATTTACCAGCTTGTTTCAATTCAGGCAAGCCAGAACACTCTAAAGAGAATATAAAAGAAATCCCTGAAGTAAAAAAAGGGGGAAAAGCTAAAAAAAAAAAAAAAAAAAAAAAAAAAAGTTACAGTCCAGAAACCTCATTAAATAAAATAGCATGTTGCAAAGGTTGAATTTACCCAATTTTTTTTTCTAGTTAGTAGTTTGGAAGTCAATATTCTGTGAACTAAACACTGAGAAGACATTTTCTATTTTGTTTTATAAGAGGTATGAGGACGTGTATAGGAAAACAGGAAGAGCCTGCTTGCTTCTCTGTGACTTATTAGCTGAATGACATTGATCAGACCACCTAACTTTTCTGGGCCTTCCTTGTCGCAGGCCTGCTTTAAGAATTTTTTTTAACCTAATGATTCCACCAAAAAAAATGGTTAGAACTGATAAACGAATTCAGTAAAGTTGCAGGATGGAAAATCAACCTACAAAAATCACTGGCATTTATATACACCAACAGGGAACAATTTGAAAAAGAAACCAAGAAGGCAATCTCATTTACAATAGCTACAAAGAATGTAGAATACCTAGGAATCCATTTAACCAAGGAAGTGAAGCATCCATATAAGGAAAACTATAAAACACAGATGAGAGAAACTGAAGAGGACACCAGAAATAAAAATATTTCATGCTTATAGATTGGAAGAATTAATATTGTTAAAATAACACTTCCCAAAGCAATTTACTGACTCAATGCAATCCCTATCAAAATAGCAATAATATTCTTCACAAATATAGGAAAAAAAAATCCTAAAGTTTATATGGATCCACCAAAGACCCTCAATAATTGACACATTCCTGAGGAAAAAAGCACAAAGCTGGAGACATCACACTACTTGACTTCAGAATTCACTACAAACCTATAATAACCAAATTAGCTTGGTATTGGCATGAAACAGACACATAGATCAATGGAACAGAGCAGAGAACCCGGATATAAATCCATGCATCTACAGACAACTTATCTTTGATGAAGGGGCTAAGAACAATGGGGAAAGGATATTCTCTTCAATAAATGATGCTGGGAAAACTAGACCCCTGTATCTCACCATATATAAAGATCTACTCAAAATGAATAAAAAATGTCAGACTTGAAACTATGAAACTACTAGAAGAAAACATTTGGGGAACACTCCAAGACATTGATCTGGACAAAACCTTTTGTATAAGACCACAAAACACGGGCAACCAAGATAAGAATAGACGTAAGATATTACATCAAGCTAAAAAGCTGCTACACAGCAAAGGAAACGCCTATGAGTGAGAACATGTGGTGTTGGATTTTCTGTTCTTGTATCAGTTTGCTGAGAATGATGGTTTCCAGATTCATCCATGTCCCTACAAAGGACACAAATTCATCGTTTTTGATGGCTGCATAGTATTCCATGGTGTATATGTGCCACATTTTCCCTGTCCAGTCTATCATTGATGGGCATGTGGGTTGTTTCCAGGTCTTTGCTATTGTAAACAGTGCTGCAATGAACATTTGTATGCACGTGTCCTTATAGTAGAATGATTTATAATCCTTTGGATATATACCCAGTAATGGGATTGCTGGGTCAAATGGAATTTCTGTTTCTAGGTCCTTGAGGAATCTCCATACTGTCTTCCACAATGGTTGAACTAATTTCCACTCCCACCAACAGTGTAAAAGTGTTCCTATTTCTCCACATCCTCTCCAGCATCTGTTGTCTCCAGATTTTTTGATGATTGCCATTCTAACTGGTGTGAGATGGTATCTCAGTGTGGTTTTGATTTGCATTTCTCTAATGACCAGTGATGATGAGGACTTTTTCATATGTTTGTTGGCCTCATATCTGTCCTCTTTTGAAAAGTGTCTGTTCATGTCCTTTGCCCAGTTTTGAATGAGTTTGTTTGTTTTTGTTTCTTGTAAATCTGTTTTCGTTTTTTGTAGATTCTGTATATTAGCCCTTTGTCAGATGGGTAGATAGCAAAACTTTGTTCCCATTCTGTTGGTTGCTTGTTCACTATAATGATAGTTTCTTTTGCTTTACAGAAGCTCTGGAGTTTAATTAGATCTCACTTGTCTATTTTGGCTTTTGTTGCCGATGATTTTGGTGTTTTGGTCATGAAGTCCTTGCCTATGCCTATGTCCTGAATGGTTTTGCCTAGGTTTTCTTCTAGGGTTTTTTATGGTGTTAGGTCTTATATTTAAGTCTTTAATCCATCTGGAGTTAATTTTAGTGTAAGGTGTCAGGAAGGGGTCCTGTTTCTGCTTTCTGCACATGGCTAGCCAGTTTCCAACATCAAATTTTAAGTTCTTAAAAGTAGGCCAGGCGCAGTGGCTCACACCTGAATTTCCAGCGCTTTGGAGGGCAAGGCAGGCATGTAGCTTGAGCTCAGGGTTTTGAAACCAGCCTGAGCAACAAGGTAAAACCCCGTCTCTACAAAAAAATACAATAATTAGCTGGGTGTGGTAATGTGCACCTGTGGTCCCAGCTACTCAGGAATCTGAGGTGGGAGGTTAGATGCCTGGGAAGTTACCTGGGAGCTGAGATCATGCCATTGCACTCCAGCCTGGGTGACAGAGACTCTGTCTCAAAACAAACAAAAAAACTTCCAAAACCTAAATGAAAAGATATTTAGTTCTCTAAATTAAACCTTTTTATATCTTTTAAAAATCTTTTTATAGTAAATCAATATATATTACTAAAATATATGTTGTATAGATATAATCCTTAAAAAAAATGAAAACTGATTTTTGTTTTTGAGACAGTCTCACTCTGTTGCCAAGGCTGGGTTGCAGTCTTGGCTCACTGCAACCTCCGCCTCCTGGGTTCAAGTGATTCTTGAGCCTCAGCCTCCCAAGTAGCAGGGATTACAGACATATGCCACCACTCCTGGCTAATTTTTGTATTTTTTGTGGAGATGGGGTTTCCCCATGTTGGCCAGGCTGGTCTCAAACTCCTGACCTCAGGTGATGTGCCCACCTCAGCCTACCAGAGTACTGGGAGGCATGAGCCTTCCGAAAACTGATATTTTGTAGGGTCTAAAATTTCCAGTTTTGCATATCTACTAGGAATGCAGTATATTTTATTTTATTGTGTTTTTCACTTTTTAATATACTCTGGGGTGGTAAAATGTTTATCATCTTGTGGATTTGCATTCTATCCTCTAATTTGAATGATCACGAGCAAAGGTCACTGTCCTTCCCCTTCACATGTTGTTACCTTCGTTGTCTCTGTCTTCCAGAATCCCCTACTTTGAAACTAGTGCTGCCAATGGGACAAACATAAGCCAAGCAATTGAGATGCTTCTGGACCTGATAATGAAGCGAATGGAACGGTGTGTGGACAAGTCCTGGATTCCTGAAGGAGTGGTGCGATCAAATGGTCACACCTCTGCAGATCAGTTAAGTGAAGAAAAGGAGAAAGGGGGATGTGGCTGTTGAGAAGTCGAGTAAGCGACATAGCAGTTCAGGTGGCCCATGCCTAGGATCCTTCTCTATGATTGATAGGTGGCACAGCGAGAGATTAATGGGCATTGTGTACAAACTGCTTCTTGCCATCCCCATTAGACCTACCAGTGAAGCGTCTGGTTTTAGAATTAATTTGTTGCAGCTTTGTAAATATTTCTTTAAGATTCAGCCTGAGAGTTAGGAGAAATATTTTAGAGCCAAAAGTGCCTTATCAAACCTTAGCCTGTTATAGTAAATCATTAAAGGATTTAGAATTTTGCAGTCACAGAAGAGTGTATGAATGAGGGTACTGTCACCTGCTTGAATGTAAGTAGGCCAGAGTCTTACATTTAAGATCTTACATGTAATTATAAAATGGCCACAGTCTTGGACCAAGATTTAAAGACTCATGCCATAGGTGACCTTCTAAAATGCCATTAAAGCCACTTGCATGTTAAATAAGAATACATATGCACATCAGCCCAATGTCTTTGAGTATTAATTTTATGTAAGCATTCTATTTAACATGAACATAGGACAAACTATGGCCGTATCTGTAGACCTTGGATAAACTGCATCGACCAGTTGTACACTCATGGTGACTTTTTTGTTGGTGGAAAAGGAATTGGAGTGGGGCAGGGTGGCTTAATGTAATATGAACAACTGAAGTGGGACTTGTGGCTCCCACTATATTCCCGTTGCTGTGAAGGGTTGGTTGAAGGTTCAGGGAACTAGATTTTGTGGCTTTGATGCACTGTGATTGTACATTTATACTTGGCCTATGTGCTGGCCACATCTGAACATAGGTGGTGCTTATGCTGAGTTATTTGTGATGAGTAAATATTTAGTTTCTTTTTCTTCATATTTATAATTTTGATCCGGCATTCTCTGGCCACAGCTTAATTAGCTTGTAAATTACTCATCTCTGTCTTTACCAGCAGGCTCTGTATTGTTGATATTTGCAACTTGTTTTGCTTTTCTATTGTTGGAATTGAAGGAATTAGTTTTCAATTACATAAAATGCCTGTTTGCTATTTGGTGGAAGATAGATGTACATATTGAAGCAGTTATATTTATACTGCAGTTCAATAAAAGAAAAATGAAGTATTCAGTAGCCTATAATTTTCATTGAGCTCATGAGCATTTACTGTACTTGCTGGGTCTTGCCAAGATCAGGTATCCTGCTAAGTTGCCAAAGTGTCTTCATACCAAATTAAAGGTGGTTTTAATATATGTTTCATGGAAGTCTTTATAAAATTCAAAGGTATTTCATTTAGGTGAAAAGTCTTATTTATTAAAGTGGTTTGAATAAAGTAGATCAAAATTTCCGGAGATCTTAATGGCTATTTAGGAAGAAATAGCACTCATTATAATTTAAATAAGGAATAAAAATAAATGTATTTTGTGGTGGCAAATATTTGGCAGAACTGTAATTAGAAAAATACAAGTATATTTGGGTGATGGTTACATTAGAAGCCCAGACTTGACCACTGCACAATATATTTATGTATCTAAACTGCACTTGTATCCCCTAAATTTATTTTTAAATGAGGAAAAATACAAGTATAATGAAAAACCCTATTGTGTTTTTCACCACTGTCCTTCCACTACTCCCATAGCAAAGTTAGCTATGGTGAGTACAATTTTACATATTTCTATCCTTGAAATGAAGGCTTCTTTTAAATTCCAAAGAAGTCACTGAGACCTGTGCATTTGAATTGTATATGCTAGTGAGGAAAAGATTTAGATATTTCAAGAACAGGGTTATAATCACACAGCAGTGCCTTCTATAGTTACCATAAGACTTCAGTGGAGTACAACATAATTTTACAGCTACATATCAGGGCATATTTTGTATGGTGTATTTGTGTTAGAATAACACATTAATTGTCTTTAAACATAAAAATAAGAATGTTTGCATGTTTCAGGTTTCAAGAACCAAATGAGTAGTTAGCTATAGATTCCATTGGCCTTAAACATATCATACAATTAAGTGTATACATGATACAGTGCACACACAAGAGCCACCTTTAATTATTGAAATAACCTGTATTCTTTTTGGAAATCATTTAAGTTTGGTATTGAAGTACTATATTTTTTGTGCATCAATGTATTTTTCTACTTATAAGCCTATGTACAAGTGAAGTGTATCTTCAGTGAACCATGTGCCAATTAAGCTATAATAAAAAAGTGGTCTAGTCTGTCAAATCTGTGTGTGAATGTAACTTTATTTCTCATCACAAAGTTTCATGCCAGAGGTTGTAATGCTACAGAAAATGAAATTCAGGGATACCTGTTCCATTAGGTGCTCACTGAGGGGCCAGCCAGGACAACATATTCTGGAAAAGTAACTCAAAATGCTATCAGACATGTATTGAGCACATCTATTTGGGAAGTGTCATAGTAGACAATATCAGATAAACAAAACAAGGATGGTTAAGGCCTGAACTAAGATCAGGCAGGGCTGAGGGACAATGCAAGAGACACTGGGGAGGGTACAGTCATGGTTTGGTTGAGGAGGGAATATGTGGAGAGATGGCTTCTTTGACCTTCTTTCTTTTTCTTTCTTTTCTTTTCTTTCTTTCTTTCTTTCTTTCTTTTTTTTTTTTTTCCTGAGATAGAGTCTTTGCTCTGTTCCCTAGGCTGGAGTGCAGGGGTACAATCTCAGTTCACTGAGAAGAAATTCTTCCTTAGCCTCCTGAGTAGCTGGGATTATAGGTGTGCATCACCATTCCTGGCTAATTTTTTGTATTTTTAGTGAAGATGGGGTTTCACCATGTTGGCCAGGCTGGTCTTGAACTCCTGACCTTGTGATCCACCCACCTTAGCCTCCCAAAGTGCTGGGATTACAGGTGTGAGCCCCCGCATCTGGCCCCCGACCTTATTTCTTCCCACTGTCCACCTTGCTTGTTCTTCTCCGGCACACTGGCCTCCTTGGAGCAGTCAAGCATGTTCCGGCCTCAGAGCTCTTGCATTTGCAGTTCCCTCTGTCTGGAATGTATACCTCTCCTATCCTTTAAGACTATGCAAATGCCATCTTGTCCAAAGGACTTTACTGACCAACTTATTTAAAAGAGCAGTCACTTCCCTTCATGGCCCCAACCAGATTGTCACTCCTTCATGACCTGTTGTTCTGCTTTGCATTTCTTCATATCACTCATATTTCTTCATATTTCACCACTTGATGTATTTACATTTATTCTTAGCCAAGAGGCTGACAAGTGATTCATTTGACATAGTTATATATTTGTCTACATCCATGAAGATATAAGCTCCACAAACAAGGACAGGGATTTAGGTAGTTTTCTTCAAAACTGTCACCACCACTCAGAAAAGGACCTGGTACACAATAGGTATGCAAATATTTTTTGACTGACTGAGTAATGGACTTAAAGAGGCCAGTGGGTCAAGTGAAAGAGTTTTCAAAAAGGGCTTACTGTTAATGTTCAGACAGAAGAATATAATTTGAAAATAAAAACAGTGTTAAAAATGTCTAAAATTGCTCACATGTAAGTACATACAAATTCATTATAAGAAAGTAAGAAATCTAGGCCGGGTACAGTGGCTCATGCCTGTAATCCCAGCACTTTGGGAGGCTGAGGCAGGTGGATTACCTGAGGTCAGAGTTCGAGACCAACCTGGCCAACACAGTGAAACCCCATCCTCACTAAAAATAAAAATTAGTTGGGTGTGATGGAGCATGCCTGTAATCCCAGCTACTCAGGAGGCTGAGGCAGGAGAATCTCTTGAACCCAGGAGGCAGAGGTTATACTGAGCTGAGATCATGCCACTGCACCCCAACATGGGTGATGAAGCAAGACTCCATCTCAAAAAAAAAAAAAAAACAAAACCAGAAATCTGAGAAATACATTCTGATTTTTTGAAGTTGATGTAAGATGGCCAAGAATCTATTTAAGAAATGTTTCACTTGGTATTTTTATGAACTAGAAATCTCTATGGTGGTATTTCCAGGTCTTCTGTCTTTGGCAATGTAGGTATTTATTATTCTTCCATTATAAAATACTAAGATAATGCTGGATAAAATATGATGAACATATTTTTTAAAACGTACCGCTGATTTCTCAAAAATAAAAAGGGCCATACCCTAAGACCCACTCCTTCCCCTTAAAAACAGACAACAGGGGGAACTTAAAACAACCTGATGCTGAATGTGGTTTGTTTGGTTTGGTTTTGCCAGTATCAGTAATCAGGATGCTTTGCTATAATAGCCACAAAGCGTTAGTAGAGAAAACCTTGGGTCTGTTGAGAATAGGATGCTGAAACTGAAGCTCTTTGTCCCCAAATACACAGAAATCCAGGACCTGGTCTATGTCCTTAATGTCTTGCGAAAATTAATAACCACAGGTCTGCTTGAACACAGGTTTGAGATTCAAGTGTGTACTACCTAAGTTTTCTGGGTATGTTAAATCAAAAAATTAACAAAAATTAACATTTTAAAGAAGAGATTAGTTATGGATTACTTGGTAGGAGCAAAGCAAGAATGTTTGCAGATGGAACATTTTTGCATAGACGAGAAAACACCCAACTATGGATGACATTACAGCGATAAATTACAATCTATTTCTTCTTCATCCTTCAATCATTAGCAAGGGTCAGCAGACCAAACAAACAGCAGGATTTGGCATTTAAGAACCTCAAATGATATGCTTATCAGACAGAGTCCATAAAGTTAAAATGTTTAAAGTAATCACAAACATTAAAGGAACTGAAAAATCCAGAAAAGAAGACAATATTAAAGATACCAGACTGGTATGAATTAAAAAAAAAAGCAACTTTCAACAATGAAAAATATAGCCACTGATATTCAAAACTTAATGGTTAGAGGTTAAATGACAGGTTTGGTAGAGTTGAGAAAATTCTAGAAGGCAGATCAGAGGAAATTACCCATAATTCTGCAGACAGAGATAAGGAGAAAGTCCTGGAGGGGTTAAAAGACATCGAGGGAAGAAAAAAACCTCTAACTTATATTTAGTAAAAATTCTAGAAAATTAGAGAAACTGAAGGAAGAGGCACTATATGAAAAGATAATAGCTGAGAATTTTCCGGTAATGATACAAGACATATACTCTCAGTTTTAGGAATCATAAGCCCCAAGCAGAATAAATGAAATCATATTTCCAACATTTCAGTTCAGTCTTGTATTCCATTAAAATAGGTGGAAATAAAATAATAGTTTCTAAGGCTGGCTACACACCCACTCAATCTAAAGTGAAGCACCAAGTATGTTCATAGACTGAAGGGAACGAAGTCTCAGATGAAGCCTTAGGGTATGGAATTAAGAACACATAAAGGATGTGGCCTCTGACATCAAAGGTTAACATGCGAACTTGGGTGTTCATGTAGTTGGAAGGGTATAACACTTCTTGGAGAAGTAGAAGGAACAAACAGAGGAAGGAATTGTGTAAAGGTTGCAAAGAATGGTGAGGCTCTTCCACAGTTGTTGAGGAGGATAGGAGAGAAGAATAAAGAAAAGTAAAATAATTTTCAATCTCTTGGTTGACAATAAAGTTTTGGACAGATGTTTATTACTAAAATTTCTGGTATGTGCCTTTGTTATGTAACATTACTCTGGAATTACTGGTTGAATGACTAGATAAGAAAAATTAAATATCCAATAAAAGGAAAATTGTTTGTATTTGAAGATTATAACTATACAAACTGATTCTAGATTAAAATGAAGAAGTAAATGTCGAAGAATAGCCAAATAAATAATGAATAAGAACAACAAGGAAGGAGGAGTGATATGGTTTGGCTGTGTCCCCACACAAATCTCATCTTGAATTATAACTCCCATAATTCCTATATGTTGTGGTAGGGACCTGCTGGGATATAATTAAATCATGTGCCAGTTTCCCCTACACTGTTCTTGTGATAGTGCATAAGTCTCATGAGATCTGATTGTTTTAAAGGGGTTTCCACTTTTGTCTGACTTTCATTCCTTTTGCCTGCTGCCATGCATGTAAGATGTGACTTGCTCCTCCTTGCCTTCTGCCATGATTGTGAGGCTTCCCCAGCCATGTGGAACTGTGAGTCCATTAAACCTCTTTCCTGTATAAATTACCCAGTCTCAGGTATGTCTTTATCAGCAACATGAAAACGAATACAAACAGAGAGGAGGTAAACCCAGTTATTTAAAAAATTACAATAATTTAGATATTTGGGAACACGTACATTAACAAAACAATGGAACAGAGTCCAGAAATGGAGCCATAGGTAAGTGACATTTTGAGTGAGTGGGGGGAAAGGATGCTTTATCCACCAATAGCACTGAGGGAAAAATAAACACTGGAGTCCTATGTCATTTATACTTAAATCCCAGATGAACTGAAAATTGAGATGCAAAAAAATGATGCTATACAACAAAAGAGAAAACATTTTGAAAAACAATTTTGGAGTGGGCAGTGCAGTTTAAAGGAAAGTGCCAAATCCAAAATCATAAAAAATTGGATAAATCTGAATATACAAACCACATATTTCTGCATGGAAAAATACTATGAGCAAAGCTTACAATACTGATAGGGAAATAATTTCTAAATGCATGTCAGCAAAGGACTAACTTGAACGTGTAAAGTGCTGTTGAAAATCAACAACAGAATAGACAACTGTATAGGACCTGAAGAGGCAATTCACAGAAAAATGTTGGAAAACACTGTGAAAGATTCTTAACCTCCCTTGTAATTAAATTCGAGATGAAATAATAAGATAAAATTTTATCTCAGGTTGGCAGAGATCACTTTTTACAGGGGTATGGTGAAATAGGCATCTTATTTATTGATGCTGAATGTTAACTGGTAAAAACTTTTGGAAGGCAATTTAGTATTATCTACCAAAATTCAAAACTTTCTATATGTATATCCATCTTCTCTGCTACAGAGAAGATGGATATACATATAAAGTTCTGCATAAACTCTCTTGAAAAAAAGTGTACCAGTAGAGATGCTTATTATACCAAAAGATAAGAATGTCCATCGATTAGTAACCAATTAAAATGATACTTTCATACAATGGCGCATGTATATATATACACTTGTGAAAAAGAATGTTAAATACTCTTTTACAATAAAATATGTATCAAATGCCTATTATGTGCCAAGGACTATTCTAGATACTGGGGATGTAATTGTAAACAAAACTAACTGAAATCCCTGCCTCTCATGGACCTCACATTCCAGTGAATGGAGACAAGGTAACAGCAAGATGCAGAAAAAGTAAATAGCATATTCATCAGCGTTATAAAGAAGAGGAAGTAGAGACAGGCAAACATACAAATATCTATGTTTGCCTATGCACAGAAAAGCTCTGGTGGGTAATAAATGGAACTGTTTTGCCCATGGGGAGGAAGACTGCAGGTCTGGGGAGGGAACGGTAGCTTCCTGGGAAAATGTTTGTCTACTGCATATGTATATTAATTAGAATGGGGGGGGGAGGTGGAGAACACCATTTTATATTAAAAAAAAAAATTGTTAGTTAAGTCCTTGAAGCCTCAGCGACTCAACCGTTTTCACTGCCGTGTTTGACGCAACGCTGGATTGCAGGTTCTTCGCGGCTTACACCCTGCAAACCACCATGGGACGAGAATCGAGAGCTGTCTAGGGCAGGCAGTGGACAAATAAAGAGAGTGCTCTGGAGAGCGCTCGGCACAAAGCACAAACCGAAGATACATAAGACACGTGTAAATGCGACTTATAGAGAGTAAAGACTAGGCGCCTTGACAGCGAGCTCGGAAGGCGGCGCAGAGCCGTATCTCCCCACAAGGCGGACAATCTAATCTGTAGCTCTGCGCCTGCGCCAAACGGCAGCGCTTTTCGACCGCGCGGCCGCCTCACCTCTGGTCTAACTGACCAGCGAGGGGTAAAGACGCTAGCCTTTTCCGGGTCTGGGAAGAGAAAGAAGGTCACTTCCGGCGGCTGCGCTACGTCACTTCCTCCGAGGCTTGGCGTTCAGTCAGTGGGGACCCACGCGGGTTCAACATGCGTATCGAGAAGTGTTATTTCTGTTCCGGGCCCATCTACCCTGGCCACGGCATGATGTTCGTACGCAACGATTGCAAGGTGAGGGGTGAGGGGTGAGGGGTGAGGCGGCCGAGGCCAGTCCGCGCGTCAGCGGCTCTCCCGCTGTTCCTGGGCGCGCCGGGTGCTTCTGCGTCTGCCGGCTTTGGCCCGGGTTCTTCCCGCTGTTGCCGTGGGAGGGTGGCTTAACTGGGGTTCCGGTTTCAGCGCTCCGCTTCGGAAGTTTCTCCTTGCAGGTGTCCCGAGCGACGCTGGCCACCAGGCCACGTCTGGGTGGCGTTGGCAGTAAGGAGCTTCAGGAGCGATCCCAGCAAGCGCCTGCTGGGAATCTTGAATGTCTGTGACGGCTGTTTGGCCGCTTAGGTACTTGGCCAAGTTCTTGAATCCAGCAAACTTGGTTGAATGTATGCCCTGCCAGGCATGATACTGAGGTCCGTACTGAAGTGTAGAGGTTGTTGGGAGTGTTCCATATTGCTTAATGGTAGAGTTATGGGTTAAGTTACTGCCTGTGAGTTGGGGAGGATCCTGTATGGAAAGACTCACAATGAAGGTGACATTTATCCTGGACACTTGAATTTTGCAGAAGAAAGAGCGGAGGGGGCCTTCTAAGTGAAAGGCAGAGAGAACGGAGCAAATACATTTGTTTGAGGAAGTGACTGGATTGTAAATGATGATAGAGCCTTGGGGGTTGGGCTACAAGTATAAATATAATAAGCCTATAAACGTAAATAAATATAAGTCCTAGTTGTGAAAGGCGTTTTGAATGGTACATGAAGTTCCTGTGATACCAGAATGAATCCCATTCCTCTCTTTCTCAGAAAAACACATTGTTTCTCAGAATTGGACCTCTTACATTTGCTTCTGAGTTATCGGTCGTTTACAGATTCCTGGTTTCCACCAGATCTATCGAGTTGGAATTTTTTTGCGGGAGGGGAAGGGGGTTTAAGAATCTGAATATTGAAGTGAATTTGACATGTTAAAGAATTAGAAGTCTGACTTCATCACCTTATATCTCTAATAGGTCAAAGATACTGACCTCCTTAATTAGGGGCAAGGGATTCAGTTGAAAGTGAGAGAGGAAAGCTATGTTTGGGAACATAAAAGAACGTAGAAGATTTTGAATACTTGCTTTCAGGAACGTGATAAGAAGTTTATAAAAATGAGTCAAAAGATTGCCAGGTTGGGGTCTAATTCAGAGCAGGCAGTATGGTTCTATAGATGATCTAGTTATCATTTTGCGATTTTTGTCCAGGATGCTTGTCAGCTGAATATTGGAATTAGAACAGCAGATCGTGGGAGCTGTCAAGACCTGGGTATTACTGATTTGGTGGACACAGTGGAAGTTAAGTTGATGAAGTCTAGCAGGGACAGTGTTGAGGTGGTTGGGGTCACCTTGGCCTAAGGAAGACCAGTGGATCCAGAAGAAAGCTGATGGGGGAAATAAAAGATAGAGGAACTGAAGCACTAACAAAGAACAAGTATCTTATCTTTTCTGTGTTCTTAATTTCGAAGTCTGAATCTCCTGAGCTCCAAATCTGAATTTTCCACTGGGCCGACTGGAAGAGAGTTCCTTAGTACATCAAATCTGAATTTTCCAGTGGGCCGACTGAAAGAGAGTTCCTTAGTACCTCAAATCTTTTTTCTGTAGGAATTACTACCACTCTTAAGTACCTGGGTAGTTGTGCTAGAAATGTGGTAGTCATCTTTGAATCTTTCACCTTTTGTATCTAATTATCAAGTGTTACCTATTCTGCTTTTGCAAAGATAGTGCTGTCTTTGCCTCCTTTCTCCTTTCCTGCCCTAGTTCAGATAAGGCACTTGCCACTTTTATAGCCTCTTACCTAGTCATATTTCCTTTTTTTTGAGACAGGGTGTCACTGTTATGTCCTACATGCCATGGCTGGCGTGTAGTGGTGTGGTCATGGCTCACTGCAGCCTCAGTCTCCAGGGTTTAAGCAATCCCCCCTCCTCAGCATCCTGAGTAGCTGGTACTACAGGTGTGCACTACCATGCCCAACATTAAAAAAATTTTTTGTAGAGACAGGTACATTATTATTATTATTATTTATTTATTTTTTTAAATAGAGACAGGGACTTGCTATGTTGCCTAGGCTTTAACTAGTGTTTTTACCTTTATTCTCTCAGTTTCTGAGAGTTTTTTTTTTTTTTTTTTGAGATGGAGTCTCCCTCTGTCACCACGCTGGAGTGCAGTGACACAATCTTGACTCACTGCAGCCTCCACCTCCCGGGTTCAAGCAGTTCTCCTGTCTCAGCTCCTGAGTAGCTGGGACTACAGGCGCATGCCACCAAGCCCAGCTAAATTTTGTATTTTAGTAGAGTTGGGCTTCACCATGTTGACCAGGGTGGTCTCGATCTCTTGATCTTGTGAACCACCTGCTTTGACCTCTCAAGGTGCTGGGATTATAGGCATGAGCCACCGCGCCTGGCCAAGACTGTCTTTAATAGAAGCTTCACCTTTTACTCTTCTTAGGCATAAATGGGTTAAGGGTAGTATTAATGCTAATGCTCCATATTTGCACATACTTTGCAAACAGGAAAAGTACATACAGTCTTAACGAGGGCTTCATAAATGTTGAATTAGTGGAATAAGAAAGGTTTCAAGAACTTTGAGTCAAAGGTATGTTGGTTCATTTGTTAGCATGTTAGCATTTAGAGGACTAAATTAAAAGAGAAACTTGAGCCTAGTAAAGCTTTGCCTGACAGGTGAGCCATCCACCTCTTACCCCACCAGATTTAACCACTTCCTCATGTGTGTTTACATATTACATCATGCCTGATTATAGCTTTATCCAGTTGTTTATATCCTAGTCAGATAGTGGGTCTTATTTGATCACAAAGTGAGACTATCACATTGCTGGACTAAGCTTCTTAAGGTAGAGTACCAAGTTTTAATTGTTCTTGTATCTTTAGCCCTAGCAAACATCAGGCCCTTAGATGCTCCTTATTTGCTGATTGAATCCCTTTGACACCTCCTGTGGTTACAGTTGTCTTTAGATCCTTCATTGTGCCTTTCAGGTAATACCTATTAGATAAGGAGCCAAGTAGATTCCTCCTTGGATCTTTTTGGAATTCAGAAGAGCCAGAAGAAGTTTAGTCTTCCCATTAGATAAATATTAGAAAAAGGAATTTACCTAGGGACCATCTAGTAGGTATTAAATATGGAAGGCTTTTACTTAAAAAAGTAATAGTATTTTGGGCTGAAAATACTCAGATGAAGTATGATAATTAATTTCACAATGATTTTCATATATTCATTTTTCATTCATGATTTCATAGTAGGCTATGCTAGGAGATTATAGTAGTTCTTCTATTTTGTAGTCTATTTGACATTAACTCAAGGATATAGACAAGTTTTCACTTTAATCTCTTAGGAGAAGGCTGTCTAGGAGGTATGGATCAGATTATTTTTAAATTTAAAAAAAGGAAAATAAAAAAAATTTTTAAATTTTTTAAAATAATTAAACAGTTTCCATTAGTTTAATCTGGATCAGATTAAACTAATAGCAACTGTTTCTTTAATTTTTTAAGAAAATTTTTTATTTAAAAAAATTCTTTTTAAAAAAATTAAAAAAAATTTTTTTTTGATTTTCTTTTTTTTTTTTTTTTTTTTGAGATGGAGTTTCGCTCTTGTTACCCAGGCTGGAGTGCAATGGCGCCATCTCAGCTCACCGCAACCTCCACCTCCTGGGTTCAGGCAATTCTCCTGCCTCAGCCTCCTGAGTAGCTGGGATTATAGGCACGTGCCACCATGCCCAGCTAATTTTTTGTATTTTTAGTAGAGACGGGGTTTCACCATGTTGACCAGGTTGGTCTCGATCTCTCGACCTTGTGATCCACCCGCCTCAGCCTCCCAAAGTGCTGGGATTACAGGCTTGAGCCACCGCGCCCGGCTATTGATTTTCTTTTTTTAAAATTTAAAACATATCACAAAATCATTTAAACAGTTTCTAAGAAAACTGTCCTACACTGTATGTAGTGACCTACTTGAAGTTCCCCATAGGGCAGGCTATATAAAAGGTGAAAAGATTTGTGATACATACACAGGCTTATTTAGTTTGAAATGTTTTTACTGTTTATTTTGGCCTATTTAATTATCTGTCATACCTTATAGGTATGATAATGCAACTTAATTTTCTTTACCAAGATCCACAAATCCCAAATAATTACTTTTCCTCTCCCCATTTCCTCCAGTGGCATATACAAATTGCAGTGTGTTGTAAGGCTTTACAGAGTAACAAAACAATACTGTTAAATTTATGAAGTGAGTCCTAATAAGCCATTTCAGGAGCATGTTGAAGCATCATTAAGTTGTAAGTTGGCATTATTAAAGGACTTATGTCTTTTGGGGTGAAGGTGGAGAATTAAAGTAGTAAAGAATCTTGCTAGTAGATTTATGAATAAGTAGAAAACAAGTCTGTTATATTACCAGTTTTAGTTGTTTTGTAATTATTTTTGTGCTTTCAACAAGGAAGAGGGAAAGACTCAAAGGAGATTTCAGTAATGGTTGTTTGAAACTTTTATCCCCATTGAGGCATAGAGATAGTGAATTTTGAAAATTATTCCTGAATTAAGAAACGACTTAAATAAGTGATTTGACTTAAAACTATTCCCTTTATTTGAGATAATTTTACTGTTATTCTATAATGACTAGTGATTTTAAATCATATTTTCAGGGCCATTAGCCTTTGGTTGGGATGATGTTTGATAGTTAAAAAATAGTTGTTTCCCTTTAATCTGATATATCTTACACATTTCTAAAAGGCAGCGTAAGTAGAAGGAAAAGTAGTTTTTGTCCAGCCGGGGTAACGTCTTATGAGAGAAAGTTTTAAATGCTGACTTCTCCATATTTTAACTTTTCTTCTAGGTGTTCCGATTTTGTAAATCTAAATGTCATAAAAACTTTAAAAAGAAGCGCAATCCTCGCAAAGTTAGGTGGACCAAAGCATTCCGGAAAGCAGCTGGTAAAGAGCTTACAGTGGTGAGTACAGTTAGCTATCAATACAGCGTTTACACGTTTCACAGTTTTAGTATTTGGAGGGTGTATGTTATTTAATCAGTCATAACAAGCCTTCCTATAACATGATTAATAAGTGTCTTATTTGTATTTGGCTGTGGAAATAATCTCATTCTCACATGATCCTGAAAGCTGTAATTCTGTGGAGCTACTATTTTTAACTCTTGCAGACAAGGAGGAATATTACTTAAATGGCTTGGGGTGAAGTTGGGAGTTGCTACTCAAAGATTTTGAAATGCAGTTAGGAGATAAAGGTTTTCTCAACAACAGTCAAAGCTCAGGTGAAGTTTATAATAGACTCATTTATCAGTTTCTGGATTTCCTTAGCAGGACTTTGTATCTGAGAGCAGAGGAATTAGTAGTGTAGGTGTGAGGACTAGAGAGAAGTCCAGGGGGAAGAGGATTTAATAGAATGAGCTCCCATCATTAAATTGTTATATTGATTTGATAAAAGGATATTTTGAAGCTGTTCACATTCAGTCCCTGTAAAGGAAGGGGATGAAATGCAGTACAGGCTACCTTTGAGGGAGGAAGATCGTTTAAACTGTCCCCTCCCTCCGTGGCCGCCTTTCCCCACCAAACCTATGACTCCTTTCTGCTACTAAAGGGCAGTATCTACAATCAATTTCCATGAAGCCCTTTCCTGGCCTCTTTAATACCAGAGCTTTGCAATGAATATAAAGAGTATTATTTGACAAGGTGCAAGGCCAGATCATAATTACTATCACAAAAATAATTTTCATTCTGGGCAAGAAGCAGCATAGCAGCCCAAATGCAACTGCTTGAGAAGAAACTGCCAGTCACAGCCATTTACTGATTACCATTTACCTTGCGGCTGAGGTTATATGATCTGAATAAAAGTGTATGTAGAAAAGAAATAGCTGAATACAGAGGTAGTGCTGTTTTATATGCCTGCCAGATAGATTTGAAAACCAAGATACACCTGTAGCTTTTCCAAAATTGTTTAGTGTGATTTAAGATTAAAAGTATCATTAACTAAAAATACCAGCCGCTAGTAATGGTAACAGTGTTTGGAGGGGATCTGAAGAAATGCAGGGTCTGACTTACATTCTGCACTGTAGCACCACATTTATTTGAAGATATATTCATACCTTTCTGCTATAATGAATAGATGTTTAGGTTGAACCATATGAAATTATTCCCATTCTCTCTCTTTTTTCTGCCTCCTACAGGAAGGACATGAAATTCTCGATGTTGACTTGTTTGATCTGTGAAATATGGCAGTTTCATATGTTTCAACGTAATTCAAAGTTTTCTGGCTTTGAATCTTATCTGGGAATGGGAAATTGGGAAGATTTTGTAGTCTGTAATCGTGATCATTATTATATGCCCTTCTGAGGTATGGGGGTTTTAGTGTCCCCTCCCCTCCCTTTGAGAATCACTGGTATATAGAGAGATGTTTTCAGTAGGCTGTCTTGTACATGGAGGTGTGTAAAGAGAAAAAGTTTGAAAACCTATATTCTCTGAGATCTCCCTGAGGGGTGTATCTTGATGTACGTTCACTCAGAACACTTATGTAAAGGAAGATGTTTTAAGATATGTTTCCTTTCTATCTTTCTTAAAACCTTATTTTTATCTCCTCTGTTCTGTCTTACAGGATAATTCATTTGAATTTGAAAAGCGTAGAAATGAACCTATCAAATACCAGCGAGAGCTATGGAATAAAACTAGTAAGTCACAAAGAAATAACAGTAATTTTGAGGAGAGACTGGTTTTGGAATATTACCATAACTTTAAGTGTCATTTTGTTGTTTAAATACTGAATTTTCCATTTTTCATTTCTTGGCTTTCATTATTTTAACCTCATTTTAATGGTTCTGTTGTAGTCATTTATCAATTTTTTTTTTAGAATTGGCCAGTGTGTTCACTTTAAAATAATATGGTTATTAACGTTGATACTAGTTTAAGTGCTCACACAGAGATGTAAAAACATACATAAGGCTGAAAAAAGTAGAAACGGAAAATACTGTTTTAGAGTGAGCATGGGACAGTTAAAATACACATAAAACCTAACACACTTTATATGTTTAGACTACATAGTTTAGGATATAAACTTGTACTCTGTATACCTTATAAAGTTCATTACTTCTTTAAAATTAAAAAGTATAGCACTTAACGTCATCATTACAAGTGTTCTGAGATAATTTCTAAGTGTTTGACTTAGGTAAAAAATGAAGTTACAATCTACTGAAATTAAAAGCAATAATACCTAGTTCTTGTCTTTTTTTTTTTTTTTCTTTTTTTTTTTCTGAAGTAGGCAGAGACTTTAATGAAAAATGTCCCATATGTACAAAAAGCTAATCCCTTGAGCTAGCTTGTAGATTCCACCATGTTTGTGTATGTTTGGGACCCTTGGCCCTGCTCTTTTTTTGAGACAGAAAGTCTTGCTGTGTCCCCCAGGCTGGAGTGCAGTGATGTGATCTCGGCTCACTGCAATCTCTGACTCCTAGGTTTAAGCAGTTCTCCTGTCTCAGCCTCCCAGGTAGCTGGGATTACAGGCACCTGCCACAACACCCGGCTAATTTTTGTATTTTTAGTAGAGGCTGGATTTCGCCATGTTGGCCAGGCTGGCCTCGAACTCCTGACCTCAAGTGATCCACCTGTCTTGGCCTCCCAAAGTGCTGGGATTACAGGCGTGAGTCACTGCACTCAGCCCGGCCCTGCTTTTCTTCCTTTGGCTACCTTTATGCAGCCTGTAGCCCTTTCTAGTACTGGGTATGGGGGTGATGTGGTTTATTAACCAAGAGTCTGTAAGGCTAACAATTCCATGAACTTTATTATTTCTTACTCTCCTAATGGATCATGGTTAGGGCATCCCTTTCTGTATTCCAATTAGTCATGAGACTTCAGGGGAAGAACTGAAAATTTGTGGACCTTTGTAGTAGTATTCAGCACCTTCTAAAGCAGGGGCATCCAATCTTTTGGCTTCACTGGGCCACGTTGGAAGAAGAATTGTCTTGGCACACATAAAATACACTAACACTAATGACAGCTGGTGAGCTAAGGGAAAAAAAAAGAACTCTTTATGTTTTAAGAAAGTTTACGAATTTATGTTGGGTTGTGGGTTGGACAAGCTTGTTCTAAAGCTTTGTTTATGCTGGACCATGTGGAGAGTATATTTTTAAAAAATTTTTATTTTTTCTATCTTTTTTTCTTTCTTTTTTGTTTTAGAGATGGAGTCTCGCTCTGTCGCCCGGGGTGCAGTGTGGTGGTGCAATGTCAGCTCACTGCAACCTCCACCTCTCGGGTTCAAGCGATTCGCCTGCCTCAGCCTCTTGAGTAGCTGGGACTACAGGTGCATGCCACCACACCTGTATTTTTTTGTATTTTTAGTAGTGACAGGGTTTCACCGTGTTAGCCAGGATGATCTCCATCTCCTGATCTTGTGATCTGCCCACCTTGGCCTCCCAAGGTGCTGGGATTACAGGCGTGAGCCACCATGCCCAGCTTGCAATTGCCTTTTCTATAGATAGACCTAATTATTGTGCCTTTTGGGTCTCTCCCATCCCCTTTTTAAAAAATACGGTCTTTTCCTTCTGCTTTATAAATTAGAGGAAGAGTTAATATCTGAAAAGCAGTTGATTTTATTGAGTTTAATTGGTAAGGAAATAACACTGATTCAAACTCAAGGATTTCTAAAGAGGTTGACTTATAAGATTCTTAAATTAATTTCAAAAGACACGCTCATCAAAGACATTGGAAAGTCCTGAAGCATTTCTTTCTTTCTTTCTTTCTTTTTTCTTTTTTTTTTTTTTTGAGACAGAGTCTTACTCTGACACCCAGGCTGGAGGCAGTGGCCTGATCTTGGCTCACTGCAACCTCCACCTCCTGGGTTCAAGCAGTTCTCCTGCCTCAGCCTCCCGAGGAGCTGGGATTATAGGCACATGCTGCCATGCCTGGCTAATTTTTTTTGTATTTTAGTAGAGATGGGGTTTCGCCATGTTGCCCAGGCTGGTTGTGAACTCCTGAGGTCAGGCACTCTGCCTGCCTTGGCCTCCAAAAGTGCAAGAGTTACAGGTGTGAGCCATCACACCTGGCCAGTCCTGAAGCATTTCTGGACTAAATTCAGTTTTATTTCATTTGACCTTTGTTTTTGTTGTTGTTATTATTACATGAAGACAGCAGCTCCAGATCATTTTTACATATTTTATAACTACTTTTACTTAGTAAGTATTTAGGTTGTTGTTGAAATTGAGGTGCATATCCCATTTTAGTGATACGTGAATAATCAGTTCTGTGGTCCTTCATGCTGGTTTCGTATTATTTACATTACTTGAGAGAAATACTGCTGTGTTCTGTAAGACTTCGCATACTGTAATGGTAATATTCTCTGCATTTCTTAATTTATTTTAATTCAGTGCAAATTTATTAAGCACTACCTGGGTCATACAGAGATGAACAGGTCACACACGGCCTCCACCCTCTAAGTGTATTTACCAAGTACTCCTATTTTATTGTTTCTGTTGGGTTTTATTACAGAGTCTCATTCTCTTGCCCCCCTCATTTATACCTAGTGATAGCTGATGAGCTAAGGGAAAAAAAAAAAAAACTGCAGTAAATCTGCAAATGCTGTAAGAAGCAGTGCTCTATAGATTTTTTCTTTTTTTCCCCCTGCACTGATTCCGCTTTCCTTTTTACTGGGATCCCAAAAATAGATTTTTCTAAGAAGATTTGCTAGGTACACAGTATGAGTGCTGGGTACATATTATGAGGGTCTTTGGAATTTAAGATTGTTTCCTAGTGTTTTACACAATAAAAGTTGTCAGTAGGTTTCCAGAAAAATAGTCTTCTAAGAGATTCATTGATTCCCTGTACCTCTCATATTTCAACATCATTTTGTCTATAAACTAATCTGTTGACAAGAGTTTTGTATCCATTGCTTATTTACGTTGTCAAATTGTGTGAGGATGTGGATTGAACAACCATTGTTAAGGTACTGATTTCTATTTTAACTTTTTACATATTTTATTTTTGTTAAAAAAATTTTTTTTAATCTCAATAGCTTTTAGGGTACAAGTGTTTTTTCTGTTTACATGGATTAATTGTAGAGTGGTGAAATCTGAGATTTTAGTGCATCCATCTCCTGAGTAGTGTGCATTGTACCCAATATAAAGTTTTTGCCTCTTACCCTGCCCTGTTGCTCTTTCTGAGTCCCCATAGTCCATTATATCACTCTGTATGCCTTTGTTTGCCCATAGCTTAGCTCCCACTTACAAGTGAGAACATACAGTATTAAGTTTTTTGTTCCTGGGTTACTTCACTTAGAAGAATGGCCTCCAGCTCCATCCAAGTTGTTGCAAAAGACATTCTTTTGTTCTTTTTTTTTTGGCTGAGTACTATTCCATGGTGTTTAAATAACCATATTTTCTTTACCCACTCATTGGTTGATGGGCACTTAGGTTGGTTCTGTATCTTTGCAGTTGTGAATTGTGCTGTCAGATGCTTCTTAGGTTCAAAATGTTTCAATCTTCTGGAATTTTGGGAAATACCGATATAATATTCTTTGGAAAGGATTTTCCTGCTATTTGTGTTTATTTCCCTTCTAAATAACTTTAAAATGTGGAAATGCTTCTGAATACTAGACCTTGTCCTTATTTTTGCTGAAAGACAAAGAAAAAAGTTATATATTCAGCGTATTACTAATTCTGAGCTACAGCGTATGCAGATTTATAGTTGACGTTTTCTTTTTTCTTTCTTTTTTTTTTTTTTGAGACGGAGTTTTGCTCTTGTTACCCAGGCTGGAGTGCAATGGCGCGATCTCGGCTCACCGCAACCTCCGCCCCCTGGGTTCAGGCAGTTCTCCTGCCTCAGCCTCCTGAGTAGCTGTGATTACAGGCACGTCCCACCATGCCCAGCTAATTTTTTGTATTTTTAGTAGAGACGGGGTTTCACCATGTTGACCAGGATAGTCTCGATCTCTTGACCTTGTGATCCGCCCGCCTCAGCCTCCCAAAGTGCTGGGATTACAGGCTTGAGCCAACACGCCCGGCTATAGTTGACATTTTCTTACAGTTATTTATAGAAACGTTGTTTTAATACTAGAGGTCTCAAAGATTGTCCTGGGGGTTTTGGTTAAAATGTGGATTCAGATATAGCAGGTTTGTGTGGGCCTGAAATCCTTTATTTCTAACAAGGTCCCAAATGATGCCACTGTTACTGGTCCTAGACTACATTTTTTTTTTTTAAAGTCTTTTTTTTTTTTTTTTTTGACCTAATTTCAGAGTACAGAAAAGTTGCAGGAGTATAGTTCTCTGATCTCCTTCATCCAGATTCCCCGAATGCTAACGTTTTGTTGAATTAATTTTTTCTCTTTGTCTCTCTTTCTTTAGTGTATGTTATTTTTCTGAGCTGTTTAAACATACATAATGCTTCTTTATCCCTAGTTTAATATGTATTTCCAGAAATAAGAGCATTCTCTCACATAACCACACTGCAATTATTAAAATCAAGATTAACATTGGTAGAATATTATTACCTAATCTTAGACCTATTCATATTTCTCTTATTGTCCCAGTAATAGCCTTATCGCAAAATTTTTAAGAATAGTACATGTCAGGTCTCTTTAATCTCTTTTAATCTGGAACATTGCCTGAGTTTGTCTTTATATTTCATGATATTGACAGTTTTGAAGAATATGTATGGGCCAAGTGTTTGGTATAAAATTCCTTAACTGGATTTTGTTGGATGTTTCCTTAAGATTAGGTTTAGATAATGCACATTTGGCAAGAGCACTAGAGATTTGATGCTGAGTGTTTTCAGAGTTTTGTCAGGAGACAACAAGCTATCCATTAGTTCTGTTACTAGCAGTGTTAACCTTGATCATTAGGTTAAGGTGGTGTCTGCCAGGGTTTTCCACTGGAGAGTTACTGTTTTACTCTTTTAAATTCGTAAGTATACTTTGGGAGATGCTTTAAGACTTTGTTGGCCGGGAGTGGTGGCCCGCACCTGTAATCCCAGCACTTTGGGAGGCTGAGGCAGGAGGATCATGAGGTCAGGAGATTGAGTCCATCCTGGCCAACGTGGTGAAACCCTGTCTCTACTAAAAATAAAAAAATTAGCTGGGCGAGGTGGTGTGTGCCTGTAATCCCAGCTACTGGGGAGGCTGAGGCAGGAGAACCGCTTGAACCAGGGAGGTTGCAGTGAGCCGAGATCACGCCACTGTTCTCCAGGCTGGCAACAGAGAGAGACTCAGTCTTAAAAAAAAAAACAAACTCTATAAATATCTTATTTAGATCTACAGACTACGCTGTAAGGAGTTAGATTAGAAGTTGTGGTGTCTAAGCTACGGAACACTTGAAATGTAACTAAATTGTGGTGTGCTGTAAATGTAAAATGAATGATGAATTTTAAGACTTAATATGAAAACAGGAATACAGTATTTCACTAATAATTTTATATAGATTACATGTTGAATGAAATTTGGGTTAAACAAAGTATATCATTAAATTTCCACCTGTTCCTTTTTACTTTAGAAAATATGGCTACTGAAAAATTTAAAATTTCATATGTGGTTTGTTTTTTATTGGACAGTACTGATAGTAATTGTGGAGTGTGGTTGGACTCAGCCCCCTTTTAGCCAGCGCTCCTGCAGACATTTTCCAAAACAGTTGGATTTTTGTGGTTGAAAACATTTTAGTATTGATTGTTTGGTTTATTCTGCCAATGTCATGTGGTGACCATATCCTAGGTGCTGTTAAGTGTTCATAACCAGAAAGGTGCTGTCTTTCTTTATTCATGGAAATTACAAGTTATGAATGGGATTAGTTGTCAACAGTCCAAGTTCTCTTTATAAAAAAACATTTGAAAAGCACTGGATTGGTTTAAAATGAAGGAAAATGTAACAGCAATAGAGACTTTTTTCCCAAATAAAAATTAAAGAAGTGATAATTGTGGAAGAGATTATTGACAGTGATGATAGCCATGAATATATACCCTCTTCAGCTTTTTGAGTAGGGATTGTTTTTGTAAGGATTTTTTTTTTCATGTAAATTCATTTCTAAATCAGAATAATAAAGAAGTGTTTGTTAATGTAGTTGTTGATCATACTGCTTGAATGTGCATACATTTGCTAATAACTTGTGATTTTTTTTGTAGTTGATGCAATGAAGAGAGTTGAAGAGATCAAACAGAAACGCCAAGCTAAATTTATAATGAACAGGTATGAATATTTGTATGGAGTAACTTTTGGAAAATAATTACCAATAGATATTTAGAGGCATTAGTATTTTTTTTTTTTAACTTTTTATTTTGACATAACTTCAGACTTACCAAAAACTTTAAGGAATAATATGAAGGACTCTTGTATATTCTGCTAGCATTTTACATTTACTTTATCCTTGTCACAATGTATGGAAGACATAGTTCTTTTCCCTTCTAAGTTTACTTAAGTGTATATAACCTAAAAATAAGAACATTCTCTTAAACACAGTGTGATTATCTATCAGGAAATTAACATTGATGTAATATTCACCTTGTTTAGACCTCACCAGTTATTCTGATTACATCTATGGCAACAGAAAGTCCTTCATATTTCTTCATCTTCTTTTAATTTGGACAGTTTCTAATCTTTCTTTATTTTACATGACATTGATAGTTTTGAAGAATATAGGTCAGGTTATTGTATAGAATGTTCTTCAATTTGGGTTTGTCTGATATCTTCTTCATTAGATTTAGGCTAGGTGCCTTTTGCCGGGTGTCACAGAAATGATGGTGTATCCTTCTCACGCATAATATTGGGAAGTACATGATGTCACCTTACTGATGATGTTAACTTTGATCACTTGATTAAGGTGATGTCCGTCAGGTTTCTCCACTGAAAGATTACTACTTTGTTTTCCTTGTAAACAGTACATGTCTTGTGGGAGATGCAAAGAGATTCAATAAAGAGCCTATTCTCAAACTTGTACCTACTGGTTTTAGCTTTCCTCAGAGTCTTGTCTGAATCAGTTACTATTACTGTGATGGTTGCTAAATGGTGGTTTTTCTAATTCCATCATTTCTTCTACACTTGGTAGTTGACTTTCTCATGTAAGAAAGAGCTTTTCCTTTTCTATCAATTTCAAGATTTATTCCTTTATTCATGTTACATCTGTGTGTATTTATGGATTCCTATGGTATACATTGGGTTATAATTCCTTATTGTCATTATATATTTTGATGTTCTCAGTGGCCCAAGTTTGGCCTGTGGGAGTTCCTTTGGCCGACTCTCATGTCATTTTGACAATTCTCATCATTCTTTGAGTGCATTCATGTTTTATAGCTAACAAGATGTTTCAAGACTCATCTTTTGCTTCCTTTTCCCCAGCCTGGGGAATCAGCCCTTATTTCAGAGCAGGATCATGAGCTTTTAAACTAATTGCTGTGGAATACGTCATGGAGAAGAAGCATGTGCTAGCAGCTTTCTGGCTTAAAAATGTTAAAGCATTTTAGAAAAATGTTTGAGAACTAGTTTGTTAGCATTTCTGTTGAATATCATGTGTTTTGTGCTCTTGTAATTACCAAATAGTTAAAAAAAATTATATAACAGAGACTTAGGTACATGAGAAGAAAAGATCCAGGCGTCCCCAAACTTCTTACACAGAGGGCCAGTTCACTGTCCCTCAGACCGTTGGAGGGCCGCCACATACTGTGCTCCTCTCACTGACCACTAATGAAAGAGGTGCCCCTTCCTGAAGTGCGGCGGGGGGCCGGATAAATGGCCTCAGGGGGCCGCCCCTTGCCGTAGTTTGGGGACGCCTGCTGTAGGCACTTTAACAGTTAGAGGTTGTTTTATGTAGTAGAGCACTACTTCTTTTCATGAGTCACATCCTTCATTTACTCAGCAAATATATATTGGGCCTCCATTTTGTGCCAGACTAGGTACAAAGGGATACAGTGATTGAATGAACACATTTTGTGGTAGGATAGGAATCCTATTTTAAGCTAATTATGAACTAAAAAGCCACTTTGATTTTGAGTTGTTAGGGAAGTAAGTGTACATTTGTGAGGGCTTAATAGGTGACCTTACCTTAGATTTGGGAATAACTGTAAGGTATATATCTCGTTTATATTAACTTCTACCTGTTAAGTTCACCGCTTGCCATTTGGGAATAATTTGAGAGAACTGAGAGAGGCTCTTTGTTGACTTGGTGTTGATGTTCCTGCTGGAGGAGGGGGGCGTTGTGGGGAGAAGAAAGGGTAATAAATAGAAGGGCAGCCATCACTTTCCCATTCCCCATCTGTGTGGCTAACTTAAGTAACAAAATTTAGAAGCTGTATTGTGAATTGATGCCTCTTAAAGAAGTGTTGGTAACTGAAATTTGGCTTTAATGTGTTTTGTTAAAGACTGAAGAAAAATAAAGAGCTACAGAAAGTTCAGGATATCAAAGAAGTCAAGCAAAACATCCATCTTATTCGAGCCCCTCTTGCAGGTGAGTATTACATAACACTACACAGGAGTTTTCTGCTTTAAGAAGAAAACTGAAAAAATCTAGATTTTTGAGGTCTGCGTATTTGGGTACCAACTAACTTTGGGTATTTTTTCCTTTAAATATTGTCTTAGTAAATTTATGATATGATTTGGTCTGTAAAAAGGTAATTTATTCAGTGTATTTTCCAGTTATAGTCAATCTATTGATACGGTGTTTCTTTTTTCCCTTCATTGAATTCTGTGTTCTGTATCTCCCCAAGTTAAGCAAAATGATTTGAGTAATAATTTTGTGGATGATTTTTGTCTCATGCTTGTTTTGATTAAAGAACAATATTTTATATTAGTGGTTCTCAACGTTTGGTTGGGATAGGAATTGCCAACTTGGGGAACTTAAAGACATAGGCCCAGGCTCTTTGAGTCTGGGCTGCTGTTCAGTAGCATTCCAGGTGATTCTGATTCTAAAATTTGTACTACTGTTTCTTTTACTCAGCTGATACCAAGTACAGCTAGATCACTTAAAGGGAAAGAAATCTTGTCTAAACCTTAGTAAAGGTCAAATTCTGTAACCACATGTTGAGTTCATTTGTGTGAATCTACTTGTATTATTTTTGTACCAAATTTTATTAAAACAAAATAGACAAAATTCTGGAGCATTTGTTTTACATATACATAACAAATTGATAGCCAAAAAGCACCGGAAATGAACCATTGTTATCTAATTTTTTAGGTAATTCTCTTTGAGGTAGATAGGACAGTGTAGGCGTCCCCAAACTTGTTTTACACAAGGGGCCAGTTCACTGTCCCTCAGACCGTTGGAGGGCTGCCACATACTGTGCTCCTCTCACTGACCACCAATGAAAGAGGTGCCCCTTCCTGAAGTGCGGCGGGGGGCCAGATAAATGGCCTCAGGGGGCCACATGCAGCCCGCAGGCCGTAGTTTGGCAACGCCTGGGACAGTGTTAAGAGCAGGGACCGTGGATCCAGATGGCTGAGGTTCACATACCAGTGGTTTCACTTAGATGACTTTGTAGTTGAGTGACCTTCAGCAAGTTAATATGTCTTGGAGCCTAAGTTTTCTCATATTTAAAATGGGGATTGTTATGAGGGTGAAATTAGCAAATATATGTAGAATGTCTATTTGATGCATGGCTAGCTATTATTAAATTTCTTAGGAATGGCTAATACTACTTTAAAACACACAGGATCCTCTATAAAGTTTTGATGTGTTGATGTAAGGTCACATTGAATTAAGTTTTCTATTTTTTACTTATTTTGTTAAAGGCAAAGGGAAGCATTTGGAAGAGAAAATGGTACAGCAGTTGCAAGAGGATGTGGATATGGAAGACGCTTCTTAAAAATCTCTGTAACCATTTCTTTTATGTGCATTTGAAAATGCCCTTTGGACACTTGGGACTGCTAAATTATTAGTTTATTTTTTACACAAGGTCACTTAAATGAAAAGTGATTAAAGTATATTCTACATAAAAATGTTTTCTACATTGCCATCTATAAAACATCAGATATTACTGATGTTACATCGCATCTCAGTGTTAAATCTTCACTGACAGATGTACTTACTCATGAAAATTCTGCTTATAACTATAGAAGTGAATTGTGGATGTGAAATGCTTATTCCATTTGGATAATGGCACAGGGCAGCCTTTGTATAATAAGTAATGGCAAAAATTCATGGTTAGTGATGTATAAAATAAAATATTCTTTGCAGTAAAATATTCCCTTTATTAATGTTATAGAAAGGGGGATACGACAAGGAAATAACAATTTGTATGACAGTGTCAGATACTATTTTGATTTTAGTATTTCCTGTTTTGATTTATTTGCATCTCAGAAGAGCAGAATGATACTGTTTGATGAAGCCTAATTGTGCTGGACTGTTTTGACCTGGTTTAACCTTCTGATAAGTAGTTTTGGGTGTTGGGGATGAGAACGGAATAATCTTTGCCTGGAGTGATACTACACTCTAGAATTTCCACTTTGGAGAATACTCAGTTCCAACTTGTGATTCCTGGTAGAACAAACTTTATTTTTCTAGCCTACCAATGATCTAGAAGCAGAGGAATCTCAATGCCTTTTAAAAGTTACATGGTTTTCTTTTAAAAAGCTCCTGTTTTTGGAAAGTAGAATTTATGGGTAAAACATCTGTTCATTATTTGCACATAAAATAAAATCATTTAAAAAGTAATGCTGGTATTTATTATTTAAAGGTACTAAACAAAGATATGGAGTATTGATTACCTAGAAGAAAACGTCCTCTAAAGATACTGCTTATGTAGGAGGTACATTTAAAGAGAAATAGATACTTAATATTTAATGTTTCAGTGTTTTTACAGTGTTTACAATTTTAAGTATTTTTTTTTATTGCATTTTAGGTTTTGTTTTTTTTTTTTTAATTGTATTTTAGGTTTTGGGTTTAGGTTTTTAGGTTTTTTAGTTCTTTGTAGATTCTGGATATTAGCTCTTTGTCAGATGGGTAGCTTGCAGAAGCTTTTTCCACATTCTGTTGGTTGCCAGTTCACTCTAGCGACTGTTTCTTTTGCTGTGCAGAAGCTCTTAGCCAGAGCAATCAGGCAAGAAAAAGAAATAAGGGGTATTCAGTTAGGAAAAGAGGAAATCAAATTGTCTGTATTTGCAGATGATATGCCTGTAGTCCTAGCTACTTAGGAGCCTGAGGTAGGAGAATTGCTTGAGCCTGGGAAATCAAGACTACAGTGAGCTATGACTGTGCTACGGCACTCCAGTCTGGGTAACAACAGAGAGACATTGACTGCCCCCTAACCTTCCCCCCAAAAAGTAGGAGGAAAACATCTCAAAAGGTAAAGTATCTAGGTCACAACCTCTCAGTGCCTTTGATTACACATTTGCAAACAGGATGTAGCACCCTCTAGTCCCAGAGTTGTGAGAATCCAGTAATAGAGCAATAATTAAGGCCAGGTACATTGCATATATTATCTTCCAGTATCAACAGCCCCTTGTTAGTCCTTCTTGTTGTGCAGAAGAGAAACAGGAAATAAGAGAAATTAAGTAACTTGATTCATGTCACTAACAGGTAGCAGAGCTTAGATTCAAGCACAGTCTGTCCTCATCACCAGCCGATATTCCTAAACATGGGTTCTGCCTGGCATGTGGTTGGTCCTCAATATATGTTTATTTGCTGGAGGAAAAAAATCTAGCAGTAAAAGAAAATGTCTTGGGGAAACTAATAGATTTTATGGAGTAGTTTAATTTTTCTTGTGACAAGAATGGATACTTTTTTTTTTAACCCGTTCTTTCAGGACTGACAGGGTATCAATAAGATAGCAAGTTTAATAAAATGAAGATTTTTGAAATTTACTGCCCCTAAAAAAATTAATACAGCAATGCCATTAATTCTAGTATAATTGTTGGAGGAGCTGTCTTACAGTTAGTGCTGAAATGCATGCTAATCTTGTTATCCAAATAATTTAAAATTGTATCAGTATCCACTTTATGAGCAATTTCAGTATTCATTAATTGGATTTTAAAATGTTTATTGTATGTCTGCTATGTGTGAGGCATTGCTTGTCTCATTTAGCAACAAAATAATTAGTTTATATTATGTTTGAGAATTTTGAATTGTAAGGAAGTGTATTCTAGTTGTAGTTCATACCTTTTAGGACCATTTAAAGCTATTAGCTGTTTGCATTTGTGCCAGTTTTCAAGTTCTCCAAATTGTTGGGATTACAGCCAGCAAGAATACTGTCTTTGTTCCAGGGGATGAAAGTTTGAATGCTGAGGGTCAGGGTTCATCTAAGGTGAGAAGTGGGTTTTGAAGTTGCCCGATGTATTATTTGATTTCTTCTTTAAAAATTATTTTATTTTATTTTATTTTTAGAGACAGGGTCTCGCTCTGTCACGCAGGCTCGTGCAGTGGTGCAATCTCCGCTCAGTGTAACCTGAAAATCCTGGGCTCAAGCAATCTTGCATCGTCCTCCAGACTACCAGTGTGCCATTTGAATTGTCTTTCTAACAATGATGTGGCAAAGAATCTAAGATGATGTTCTTTCAGTGTACCGCATACATGATAACATTTCGTCCCCACTGTTAGTTAAATGGACTCTCAGAAATAATGTCTGCCTTACTGAACAGGTTTTCTTTCTTTGAGTTGAGGGAAAGTCTCCATTAGAGATTAGATACCCAGGAAGATTTGGGTCAAAGCAGCAGAAGATGAGTTACAGTAGCGTTGAGAGAGTGGCCTCAAGCCTGATTGCATGTTAGAATTATCAGGGGCAGGTTTATAATTACCAATGCCTGGGCCTCTCCAAGACCAATTAAATGAAAATCACTTGGATTAGGGCCCAGGTATTGGTAGTTTTAAAAAGCTACCAGGTGATTCTAACATGTTCCCAAGGTTCGGAACTACTGCTCTATATAATACCTACAATTTCTTAGTTTAGGCAATTAAGGTAAAGGTGTTTTCAGATGATGCTTTTTCAAGAGGCAGTTTATGAAACTCTCTCTTTATGTTATCAAGTGACTCACCAAAATAATGGGAACATTTTAAAATGGATGCTTGGATAACTTCAGTAGCAGCCACGTAATTTCCCAAGTACCTAATATGACTGCACTATGATAGTTAGCTGGATGTTTCTTGAGCTGTAAAACAGGGTACAAAGACAATCATTTCCATTTTTTTATTGGAGTTTGATTACTATTCCGTCTGGGTCGATGTGACCTTGGAATTAAACAGTGGGGATTGCATGGTCCATTTGCCAGGATCTATATATTTTATCTTTAATTTTCCCAATTATGAAGGCCTGGCTAAGACTTTTGCTTGAATCCTAAATGAGGCATTCATCATAATCCTGCCCTTTCGTTGATGCATGGTTTATCACACACACAAAAACTCAGTTAACTTTGAAAGGAGGTGAAGAAGACATATGCATGGAAGACATTGGGGTTTTTATTCCCAGGTAAGTGATTTGTGCCATCTGTGGATGGGCATAGCAGAAAGGTGGAATATTACTTGAAGCTTTTTATCTGAATCTCTTTGCTACAGTTTGGATGTTTGTTCGCTCCACAGCTGATGCTGAAATTTGATTGCCATTTTAACAGTCTTGAGACACGGGATCTTTAACAGGTGATTCAGCTCTCAAGGCTCCACCCTTGTGGGTGGGTTTGATGCCTTTAAAAAATGGCTCTGGACGGGGCTCTGTTTTTCTCCCGTGCGTTTTCTTGCTCTTTGCTTTTTCTGCTATGGAATGCCGCTGCTAGAAGGCCATCACCAGATGCGAGCCCCTCAGCCTTGGACTTCCAGCTTCCAGAACTGTAAGAAACAAATTTATTTTTCTTGTAAATTGCCCAGTCTCAGGTGCTCTGGTTAGCAGCAGAAAACACACTAAAACATTCTGCCATCAGATTTGTGTTTCCCCAAGGACATTGGGGTTCAAAGGTTTATGAGTTAGATATGGACAGGTACAGAGTGTTAGTGCAGATTAACTATTCAATCTCATTTTGGAGGGTTTCCATCAAAAAACACAAATAATTTAGTCAAAGCAGCATCTGCTGAATTTTTAGTTGACTTATAAAAACAAATAAACGACTTTCTGTATTTATTATTTTCTTTCCAGGAAGGGAGCTTTATATTCATGAGGGTAGTAAATAAATATTACTTTTTAAAAGACACTCTAGGCCGGGCGCGGTGGCTCAAGCCTGTAATCCCAGCACTTTGAGAGGCCAAGGCGGGTGGATCACGAGGTCGACAGATCGAGACCATCCTGGTCAACATGGTGAAACCCCGTTTCTACTAAAAATACAAAAAAACTAGCTGGGTGTGGTAGCACGTGCCTGTAATCCCAGCTACTTAGGAGGCTGAGACAGGAGAATTGCTTGAGCCCAGGAGGCGGAGGTTGCGGTGAGCTGAGATCACGCCATTGCACTCCAGCCTGGGTAACGAGCGAAACTCCATCTCAAAAAAAAAAAAAAAAAAAAAAAAAAAAAAAAAAAAAAAAAAAAGACACTCTAGAGCTATGGGGATTTAATAAATAGTTCATTACTTCCCCTTCTCCACCAAATTTCTTCACTCTTAACTGCAGCCTTGAAACTCAAGTGCGTTCACGTTCTACACTATTTTTTTTTCTTTTGAGAAACAGCCTCCGTCTGTTGCCCAGGTTGGAATGCAGTGGTGCAATCTTGGTTTACTGCAACTTTTGCCTCCTGGGTTGAAGTGATTCTCCTTCTTCACCATCCCAAGCAGCTGAGACTACAGGCACCTGCCACCATGCCTGGCTAATTTTTGTATTTTTAGTAGAGACGGGGTTTCACCGTATTGCTCGGGCTGGTCTTGAACTCCTGGGCTCAAGTGATTCACCTGCCTCAACCTCTCAAAATGCTGGGACACTGCTCCTGTCTAGGTTTTGGACTTTTAATTTACCTTTTTTTAATACCCATCCTTCTTCTCTGAAAGCAAGATATATTTAAAACCTATTTATTACTTTGTGATCAACTGCAAATGTTTACTTTTGGATAAGATGAGTTACAAAACTAGCAACCTGCAAAGTGTTTGAAAGTTTAACTCAGGCGTTCCCAAACTATGGCCCCCTGAGGCCATTTATCCGGTCCGCCGCCGCACTTCAGGAAGGGGCACCTCTTTCATTGGTGGTCAGTGAGAGGAGCACAGTATGTGGCGGCCCTCCAACGGTCTGAGGGACAGTGAACTGGCCCCCTGTGTAAAAAGTTTGGGGACGCCTGGTTTAAC